TGAGAAATGATTATAATATGACATTCGGCAATTATAGCAGGAAATAAAACTTTGAGATTCAAGTTTTAAGAAAATGGTATATACATTTATAAATATGTGTAAATAATGGAGAAATTTTATTTTCTTCTTAATGTTTTTTTGTTTCCTATATTTTACGTAGTGATTATCAAAATATATTTTTAAGTATATGTAAAGGACAAATAAGAGAGAGACTAAAACCTTCTTCTTTGACTTGCTCTAGTCAACCATTTTCTTAGAGGATCTTGATTTAACTCTTTGGTTTCTAATTAAAATATTTAGGCTCACTGTTCTTCTAAGCTTTTGTGACATTATTAATACAATAATGTATGAAAATGATGGGAGAAGGGACTTAAAGAGAGTGACATTTATCAAATGGTCACTGTATGTTAATATCTAGCTCAGGTCCTTTCCATCTATACACTAAACCTTATATTCCAAATAAGACAACTTCCTTTTGGCAAATAGTAGTGGAATAAATAATTTGTCAATGAATCCTTATGTCTTTAACCAACGCTCTCAAATATGCAATACATTTATTGGAACTGAAATTAGGTGTTTAGAAATGGAAACAAACTTGCAAAGAAATTTAGGCTGTTCTTTGGTGGTGGGGGGACATTAGTGATTTCCTAATAAATTAACTATATTTTCATTAATTGGACCTTAAGTGATTTTCAGATATTAGCATTTATATGTTTGTAGTACACAAAGAACTAGAAAACATGAGAAATTGCCGGATGGTGTATTTTATTCTTGGTTGAGCTTCATTGAGGGGCATGGCTTAAAGAGCTGAAATCAAAGAGTTTTGGATTTTGCTAGTAATTTATTGAGAGGCTTCAAGCAAATCACATAACCTTTATGCTAAACATTTGCCTTATCTGTAACAGGGGCATTGGACTAGGAATGGTGATTTTTGAAGCTATTCCTGACTAGAAGTTCCAGCAGGCAAGCACTGTGAAAGTTTTTGCTCTTGGATCTGGAGGCCTACATAGTAGCAGCATGTAACTAGCACACGACCAGCCCTCAATAGCTATAAGTTAAATGAATGACTGAGTGTGCCCCTGTGGAGCCCTGCCTGGGGTATGCTTTCCCATCAGAGCTTCACTCAGCATAATTCTGCTTGTATCTGCTTTATATATTGGGCATAAGATAAGATTTCATTAAAAAACTAAAGAATTATTTTACTGATGAAAATAAAAATTTGAAATCTCTAGGCTAAAGTCTTTTCAATTCTGTGATAATTTAATGTTACTTTTGTGTGCTATTATTTAAAAAAAAATACAGATCACAACACCTCTTAATCTTATTTTCTCCCTCTATATATTACCAAATTCTATGACAGAGATGTGTATAAATTGTATTTATGATAGAGAGAGGAATAGTCCCTGCTTTGATGGATGAATCAGGTGCCTAGGCAGAGAAGAGGATGATGGGAAATGCCAGTCAAAAGGAAGAGTGTGTGCAAAGGCAAAGAGCAACGAGAGAGTATGGCAAATTTAGAGAGGTGAGCAACATCGTGTGACTGGAAGGCAGGGTTGGAGGCAGATAGGAAGGGATGCGTCTGGAGGAGTTCCCATCATAAAGAGCCTTGTGTGCTTGGTTAGGGCTTCAGCTTTACCTGGTGGGGAATCAAACCATCAGATATTTTAAGAATGCAAGGTAACATGATCATATTTGTGTTTTACTAAGAATTCTCTACTCTCAGTGTTGAGGTTAGATCTTTGGAGCCTGAGGAATATCTGTTAAGATACCTCTTGATCTTGGGTTTAATGGAACTGGTGTCATAAATAATTTCAAAAAGTTTTCTTTTTCAGACCATGGCATTCTTTTCCATTTTTTCAGGGTTGGTTTGCAGAATTCTAAAAATGATTCCTTCTATGCAGCCATAGCTCTTTCAAAGAGAAAACTTAATTATTGTCTTATTAAGAATCTAATTTATAACTATCCTGACATGAAGAGGGAATAAATAATCAACTCTGGAGACAAATAAAAGTCACTTTTAATATGAATATTTTCTGCTGAAATGTAATTTCATTTATTTCTAACTATGAGATACCCATAAGGGAACCCATCATCAAGAGATTGGATATGACATTCAAGGCAGAGTACATTGAAATTGGGACTAACAGACAAGGTGATAGAATCATCTTGAATGAGAATTTTATTTTACCACTTAAAACTAAATTTTTCCTGGCTTAAAACACTTATTAGTACCTTCATTTACAGAAAAAATAACACTATAGTCATATTTTGATGACAGAAACACCATGTAAGTTATGTGCTCTATCTAGGGGTGGGGAAAGAGCTTGCCACTGGATGTGACTTTGCACTATTTTAATACTTAGTTTTAACTTGTCATTTTATGACATCTAGACTTTAGTATATACCATCAACCAAAATAATAAATGAATTAGTGTCATAAGTAAAGTGAAACAAAAAAGGAGAGATGCACTTAAAATGTAATAAAAATCCTCTTTTGGTATGCCACTAAATTGAGAATATTGCTAACATTGGAAGATTTCATTTGCAGCATGAATCCTGAAATAAATAATAAAAAGGACATAAAATGACTGTTACAAAATGAATCTAAAACAAGGAAAATCCTTTAAAGTAAATGGAATAGAAATGGAATGATCCATTTTCCCATTGTTATTCAGTGTAATGTTTATGCATGTGTGTATGTATTTTAAAATTATTCTTACTGCTTTGCTTTTCTAGTACTAATTTCATTTTAAACCTGAGAAAAATATTAAAGTTAGCTAGTGCTTGAAATATCTTCAGGTTCATGCTGAAATATTTTCTTAATTTTGCTAGGAATCTCATCAAACAACCAAGACACAGAATTCAGACAGGGTTGGAAAATGAAAAAACGCAAATTGTTTTTGAGGAGAGCTAAAGCAACAATCAACTTTTTAGGAATATTCATGGTCAATAAGGATAATAAAAACTAACAGTTCTTTAGCCCTTTCCGTGTGCAAGGCTAAACTGGGATAAACTCAAGCCCTTTCACTTAATTCCTGTATTGAGCCTATGAAATAAGCACTATCATCCCATTTCACAGATGACATTAGAGAGATTAGATAACTTAGATTACAGAGGTAGTAAGTGATAGATTTTGTTGTATACCTTAGGCAACAAGGGTAGTAAGTAATATATTTGCATGAGGACCTGTCTCCTCTTGAGCCTGATCTTTTATGCTACCTCTAAGTCATAAGTAACGATCTCTAGGCAGCACGTGCTCCCATGTCAACCTGGCCATGCCCTGTCATAGCACTTTTCTCATTGTATTATAATTGTATTCTCATTGTATATAATAATTATATTATTATAATTATAATCTCTTTACCCGCCTACCTCCCCGTGCTTCATGGTTAGCTCCTCTAAGGCAAAGACAATGTCTTATTTATCCTTCTAGTTCCAGGGGTTCAATGTAGTGGTATGTCCTAATAAATGCCTACTGAATGACTAAAGTTGTCAGAAGTCACTAAAGGTTAATATGTTAAAGAAAACATTACATTATTATGGAAAACAACTGATATTGAAAGAAAGGGCCAGTTGCGTCTAAAGCTCTGTCAGGCATTCGTTGCCTTAAAGATGAAATTTTTCAGAAACATAGGTGAGCTGCCTATAGGAGTTCAAAGAAGTATGAAAAAACCCCACAGAGATGCCTAAGTGATGTGAAATAACATAGAAAATATTAGGAAAGGTTAAGGGAAGGGATACTGAAATCACAATTTAATTAATGGTCTTTGCATTTATAAGGGACTCATCTTCTACACAAAGAAGCAAAGAACTTTCCATTGATAGTGAGCCCCAAGTAAAAGGAATACTCAGAGGATGTTTCAAGCCTTAGGTAATTTTTTAAAGATTAAAATGCAATTAGTACAGGAAAGAAAACTGTTTTATATTAAAACATTATTCAGTATAACTTAATGGGGAAAAATCAACTTCGACGTCAGCTTGAGGGATTGAAAGTCTATCAAAGAAAAACATTTCTGATCATAAGGAATAGTGTACCAAGGGGGTGAGAGAGGATTCTAAGTGAGTTTGCACATGCATCTTTAAAGTGGATGGCACTGACTTCTGTCATCACATCTTGCTTGATGATGCTCTGATTAAATGTGGTGATAATGCCCATTTTAATCTGGGCCTTTAATTGTCCTGTCTGAAAGCTACAGGCAATGAAAGCTCTCTAACCTTAGCTCTCTAAGCATGTTTCTGCTATTTGTTCCCTCTTCTAAAGGGCGCCTTGAGCTTGAATTCTGTTCTTGCCCTCAGCAGTCTATAGGAGTCAAAGACCAGAATGGGCAAGGGCTGCCATGCAAAATGATGTCCCCACTTTGCCGGCATTGACATTTCCAGTTGCCCACGCCCTACAGAAGGCTGGTGAATTCCCTTTTCGTTCCCTGGACATAAATTCATTTGCAAAATGAAAATATTCCAGAATGAGAAAAACGCATAGAGTGGAGTTCTATCAGCGAATGCCAGTGTGTCAAGTTGCGATGGTGCTTTTGTTGATTCTGTTTTTTTATAACTGGTTAATATGAATCCACCTCCAACGTGGAGTAAAGTACATTATGCTGAATTTTGATTTCATTATGAAAATGTTCTAAAACAGAGACTAGACTAAAATGAATGTTAATGACCTGTTTCAGTTGGCGTTTTGATGAAATTAGATTAAGTTTTTGCTGAGACTTTTCCTGACCACTGTAAGAACGTGTTCTTTCTACAGGGAGACTCATATCCCTCTCAAAGCTTTACTACCTGGTTCTGTATTATAATAATCCGTATGCTCATCAGCCCATCTCACGAGATTTATTAGGCCCTTGAGAGCAGAGCTGTGTCTTTTAACTTTGCCTTCCCAGTATCTAGTGCAGTGTGTTGCAGACTTTGTCACAGTCACTAAATATTTACTAGATGCCTTTTTCTGAAATAGCCCCTTTCTCTCTTCTTCTCACTTATTTATCTCTCACTTTCTTCAGGTCCTCTCCATCTGTCCCAAGGACATGAGAGCTGATATCTGTGTTCATCTAAACCGGAAGGTTTTTAATGAACATCCTGCTTTTCGATTGGCCAGCGATGGGTGTCTGCGCGCCTTGGCGGTAGAGTTCCAAACTATTCACTGTGCTCCCGGGGACCTCATTTACCATGCTGGAGAAAGTGTGGATGCCCTTTGCTTTGTGGTATCAGGATCCTTGGAAGTCATCCAGGATGATGAGGTGGTGGCTATTTTAGGTACTGTGAACTTTCCTAATGCAGTAGCAAAATCGTAACAGTTTTAGACATTTTGCTTCTCAGGTTTCGTAAGAGAAATTTCCTTTGCTTGGTGACTTTGGAAATTGGGTCACTAATGAGATGATGAATCTTAGTGAAAACTAGTAATGCCATTTCAGCAAAGCACATTAGTATTGGTCACAGCTTGCCGGGCTGCATAAGGGTTTGATTAAACTTTCTTTGGCAATAGTAGGACAGTACTTTTTAGACTAGAGCTGATCATAGCCTAAGGTGGCTGTACCCTCATGTAGGTAAGTGTGAAAATGGCTTGTGGAATTATTGTCAGGTTAGTAACCTAGAATGTTAGTCTCAGAGGGGCAACCTGTCTAGTTCAACATTTTCTATTAGAGATGAACAAAGTGAGGTCTAGAGAAGTTTAGTGACTTAATAGTTAAGTACATGAGTTAGGGCTTGAGTACAGATCATCTTACTCTAAATCTTTCTGTCTCATCACAGTGGACCTAAGTAATGAGCTGAAAGTGATGAAGAGATAAATGAATTTGACTCATTATACTGGAGTAATCACAATGCAAGTAAATTTAGGTTTATAAACCTGGTTCTATCCATTCGCAAACCAGAAAAATTATTTGGCTAATAATAAATTCATTCTAAAGTTCAGAGACCCAGTAGATAGCTATACTAACAAAAAACAGTGAGAGTGCATATAAGAGACAAATTTTTTAAAAAGTTACATGTTTGGGGACTGTGTAATATATATATTGGTTAAAAAACGCCAAATGTTATTTTAGATCATTTTCTATTCAAATATCTGCAGCAGGCTCATGAAGCCCATGTAGATAGAAAAGGAAGCAATAATGAGGTCAGCGGAGAATCATCCCTTGTTTTTTTCCTCAAGTCAAATAAGTTAGAATTGCAGGATGTCAACTCCATTTTGGTCACATTTTTCATGGCTTGTGTCTCATGAAAAATGAGCTCAATTTTTAAACTATTGGATTTTTTAGTTACCGAGGTCAACCTACCATAGCTTCAATGCCACTTAATCTCACAAGCAAAAGATTGACTGATGTACTTTAGAAAGTGCAAAAGCGAAGTGCAGCACAAAAACGAAGAATGGATTTCAAAAAGCACAATTACCTGAGAAAGACATAATTGAGAATTCAGAAGCAACGACCCTTCATAGGAAAACAGGTTCAGTAAAATTTATAGGAGTTAGAGAAAATGGTTCCAGGTTGAAAATGACTGAACACTATTGTCTGTTTAGACATGATATTACAGTTATAGTTAAATTTCTTTTAGGAATTTTTTTTTATTTTTTGCAAGAAAAATTAGTACAGTCTTTTAGAGTCAGCACTATGGGTGTGTTTATTGCTGCTTAGTGCTTATTCTGCTTTGTTTCTTGGAATATAAAGGAGTATTTATGATCCTTCACAAAAAGTGTACATTTTGCCAGAGCAATCCTTTGTGGTAAAATGAAGCATATACACAGTATAATCATTCTTGTTTGCTTAAAGAAGATAAAATATGAGCTCAAAACAGGTGTATTTTCTTTTCCTGCATGTTTGTGTCAATGGTGGGTGGGAGAACAGACATCAAATACATTACAAAAAAGTGAGTACCTGTGTGATAAATTACTTCAGCTGTGTACTCATTGTCATTTGCTTTGCCCCATTTTCTTCATTACAGCTTCACCTTGGTAACTTCTTTTCTGAAAAGAAGGATGGAAAAAGCGCTGGTCGTGCTCTGGGCTGGGTCTGCTAAGCTGGAATCATTTGCTCAGTGAGACAGATGAAATGCACTTTCTTTTCATTTTAAAATAAAATGGTTGCTGGTTTTGCCCAGTGACACAGTAAAAATGAACACAGGGCCCCTGGGTATTGGACCAATCTCATCACATATCCGTCACATTTTATTTCCTTGAGTGTGTGCTTTTTGTTTATCCTCCTCAAAAATCTTGGGATTCAGAGACTTTTCATCTCTTAGCTTAATAAGTCAAACTATATGTACACCTCTTCCGGCAACCTTTCTTTCCTTTTTTGCGATGGGCCTCTAACAAAGAGTAGTTCAGCCAAAAAAATGGCAGTCAGAAGGTTTTTGTTTTAAATAAAAAAAGAAAAACGTTTGACCTGGAAGTGATCTCCCAAGGCAGACGTGGGTGGGTGGGGAGGCATCGCTGGCGGAGTCTGCAGGCGGGTGGCAGGGTCAGCTAAGGCCATGGGGCCCAACAAAGACGCTGTCCTCAGGAGTCTGTGGTTAGGATCCGCGATGACGAGTTAGACGGGGAGACAGGGGAACTCCGTCCTGGTGTTGAGCCTTCCGCCAGTCCGCGTTGATTGGAGGAGCAGCCCGAGGAGATGGTGGCCCAGGAGTGTGGCCTCACGGTCACCTTCTGCAGGAGAGGGAGCGTGACGCCTGCACTGGGGACCAGTGCACCAGGTGCTCCGGGCACCTGCCCTGGGTTCACGCGCTTCGCAGGGTCCACCCTCGAGGCAGCTGCAGCCGGTTGCCCGCTGCCCCCTGTGCTCCACCTGAGGAGACTGGAGCCTGCTAGAGGGGCCTCCCTTGACCGAGCCAGCATCTTGACTTACAGACTTTCACACAGGCTCTGTTTTGTGACTTCCCTGTGTGGCTTCCTTGGGGGATGCGTGTTTTCCGACTTTTCCAGATTAAGAATACTTTCTTTTACGATTAGAAAAAAACGTGTTTTTTTTTTTTTTTTTTTTTAAACACTCAAGATGCCTTAACAATGCTCTAAGAAAGGAGGAGGAAAATAGTAACCTATCAGCGTCACTTGTGACGTTTTGGCGACCAGCCATTCCTTTCCCGCTACTCCTTTATTTCTTCTTCCTTTTATAGTTTTTTGGTAGCTTAATTTTGAAGTAATTATAAACTTAGTGAAAAGTTGCAAAAATTATCAGGGTGTGAAGTTTGATATATATCTTTAGGTTTTCTACCTTGTTTAGTTGATTGACTCGTCTATATCTTTACTTATTTTTTTTGTCTTTTTGATTTATCCTTGAAGTGAGAACGGCTGTTAAAGTGTAGTAGTATTAATGTGTTTTATTTATGTCTTCTTGCATCCCCTGTAGTTTTTGCTTTATAATGGTTGTTGCTGTGCTATTTGATGCGCAGAAATTCATAACTATCCTATCTTTATTGTACGTTGTGGCTTTTAGCATTGAGATGTGTCATTTTTCATCGTGTCTAAAGATTTTTTGCCTTATGAGGGTCAGCCAGAAACAGCATCGCTCACATCTGAGTACACCTTGGAAAAATGAGAATTTGCCTAATTTGATCTGATAGGAGAAATAAGCAGGCCTTGCTCTCTTTTACACTGATTCTTTTGCCAGTTGAAAAGTAGAGAAGGGAGGTCATTTTAAAATTAATTAAAATCTCTGAATCCAAAAAACAGGTGCAGCTTCATTCTTTTGGATCCTTGCCTCTAATCAGTCTCTTGGTAGGTACATAATTCTTTAGTGTGTCAAAAGTGCTAAGGTGTTTAATGAATAAGTTCTGAAGCATAACTAATTAATGGAGAGACAAAAAATGTAGTCAACAAATACCTTTTTTTAACACTGAAAGTGGCTTCAAGATGTTTTTCTAAATAGGGCATATGAAGATAATTGCAGTTCATGTCTTTCTCCAGTTTGAACTTCTTTCAGTTCTTACACCTCCACCTTTTCTTTTGACCTTCCCACTTTTTATGAAACACAAAGAATTCCAAATTAAGTTCATGATGCATACATAATATTTTATGTTCTTTAATGCCTTCTTGCTTTTTACTTCCTACCTTATAATTACTTAATGTGAACAGATTTATTGGTATGGCTAAAATAGCCAGATTACTTCTAAGCGCCTTGACAAAGTATATTGTACCTTTTAGAGATTATAAAAATTCCATTTCTACACTAACAATAGACCCAGCTCCTAAAATACTTGTGTTACTGCATTCACATCTCGTCTTCTCTGTGTTCACTGATTATTAGAGTCATAGGATTGGAGCTACTAATGTAAGACAATCTGTATTTGAGTTTTTTAATTGTAATTTTGAATTCCCAAGAGAACTATGCTTGTTTATGTAGATTTTGGATGGAGGGGTTAGATATTGTTACGGGGTTAGGGGAAGGTGGCGTGAGTGAGGAAGGGAAAGACAGAATTAAATGAACTTAATAATATAAAAAGGATAATTTCTAGTGTTTGGGTTAAAGTTCCACTTTAATTAGGATGAGTTATTTAGACTCAGCCCATCTCTTATAAACTTTTGTGCATTGTCAAAGAAAACATAAATATGGTTCTCAAAATTCAAACTCTGCTTCTTATTTTAATTCCAAAATGAAAAAATCTGAGATGTGAATGAATAATATTTTGCTATTTTGAGAATCTGTGAAAATGTGACTTTTATGCTGTGGTTATGATGTCTTCCTGTATACTTGCTCTCAGAAGTTAAATGATTCACACTTAAATCCTTAAAAGGGCTTTTCCCAAGCCCCAGAAATTTATTTTCTTTTGAATCTACATTTCTGTGTTTTGAGATGCTAAGCTAGGTAGGTTTGCTCTGCATATTATGATGATGAACTTAGTTAATTCAGACATTTTTATAAAGGGCAAACCAGTTATTTGCTTTGAAAAAAATTCCATGCTCCTCTTGCTTCAAACTTTCCAAGTAGTGATTATAACATCATTTATCTTTGGGTCAAATTATCCACTTTAGAGCCCCTCAGCCTGTAGATTTTTTGATAAAATATGTCTTTACAATCTGATAGTTTAGACTCAATCTTAAACCCTCTCCCAACCATCCTTCAGAACTAAATCTTGTTTATCTCCTTGATACTTCTTTTATCCTATCCTTAATATCCCTATCCATGACCACTGCTCTTAAAATTTTGGTCCTGGGCTGTGACTCAAAGCTGAAAGGCCCACCTGCTTTCAATCTGTCATCTGCTTCAACCTGCAATTCTATATTATGTTGCCACCACAGTGGTCTTTCTAAAATATAATTTATC